TCCTTCCTTCTTTCCTTACTTCTTTCCTTCCATCTATCCTTCCTTCCTTCCTCTCAGCAGCTCAAACACTTCAGAACCACCAGATTTATTAACATTTCCTCCTTTTCTCCGTCTGCATGTAAATATTTAGCTAATCCTCCAACTTTGCATATTTCTTTGAATCTGGAAACTTCTTGTGCAGCCGATCTGTTTCTGTTTTTCTATCTTTAGCTGCTTCTACTCTCCTTCCACTGCAGCTGAGGATGAAAGCTGAGATGTTTCCAGCTGATCCTCACTGATCCACATCCTGAAGATCTAAACGGGTCTGATGAGGACCAGAACCAGGAGACCCAGGAACCAGAACCTGGAACTTTCCGCTCCAGCCTGAAGTTCTTACCTCCCATTGGAAGAGGTTCCTGCGGTTCTACCGTCCTGTTCGGCCTCGAAAACCAGCCGGGTCACGGTCCGGGAGGCGATGCTGAAATCCACTTTCTCACAGGAACACATCAACATTCTCAGCGGGAGGATGAGGAGGAGCAGGAGGAGCAGCAGGAGGAGCAGCTGCTAATGGCTCCTAGCCGGCTAGCGGCGGCTCCCCGCGGACCCCGAAGGCCCCAAACCCCGACCAGCAGCCGGGTTCAGCTTCCAGCAGGACCGGCAGCTTCCATCTCCACCTCCCAGAAACACTCGATCCGCTGCGGAGGGTCAGACACCGAGCTCCGCCTGGCTGGAGCCGAACGGGCCGCTTTACAGAAGCCAACAAACGCGCTTTGATCGGAAAGTGAAAAAGAACCAAGTCAGTTAACCGGACCGAACCAAGAGAGAGGGGGGGGACGAACCCGACCGAACCGGACCGAACCTGACACTGCATGAATCCAGCCGGGGGGGGGATGACCAAATATCTCACCCAGAATTATACTAGAAAGTAATATCTTAGATAATCAACGGATAAAAATGATAATTATTCACAAAAATGGACTAAACCTTCGGGGGAAATAAATGGAACCCCCCCTCTGCAAAACTTTTTGGTACATTCCGGGAAAATAACTGTACCGAGGATGTGGGGAGAGGAAGGGGGGTTTGTTTCACGCAAAAATACAGACAGCAGCTTCAGGTCAGCTTTAAATCAGCTTCAGATTAACTTCAAATTAGCGGTAAAACATAAACTATCTGAGTATTTAATAAAGGAAACGTGTTTGGCTCCAAACACAGTGTTTCAAAAAACGTATATTTTACCTTAATATTTTTTTCTCATCTACATCAAAGCCACAATGAGCAGATAAATTATATTTCTTTACATTCGAGTTGATTTTTAAGGTAGAAAAGGTTCAGCTCCTGTTTATCCACAGAGCTTTGGCGACATCTAGCGTCCAGTCAGCGTCTGTGCAGCAGGCATTGATTTCCTCTCAGTCTGTGAACAAAACCTGATTTATGTGTTTATAGAAAAGCTTTTCAGCGCAAAACTTCCTGTAATCGTGATGAAATACTCTACTGATCCTCAGGGTTAAGTGTGTGAAGCAAAGTAAAGACCCACCTGCTTCCTGCTGCTGCATTGCTTCATCTGATCCCACAGATTCCCACCAGAAGGAGATCAGATGTCTTCAGCTGGATATAAACAGCTGACGGAGCTGAAGGTAGGTCACCTTGGCTGCAGCTGAAAATAAAGACACGTCACTCCGTGTAATGTCAATAATGCACACGTCAATATGCAGAGATCATTGATGTCATTTTGTATAAGAGGAGGAGGCGTTTGTATCAGTTTAAAGCACATATTTATATCGTTTAGGATGTTTTTAGTTTCAGAGAGCTAGTTCTGTTTATTTGGTTTGAGTCCAGCTCTAAATCAGAGCCCAGGATGAAGCTGTTAAATACTCTGCTTCACTCATTATGAATAAAACAACACGGTTTGATCCGGTTTGGCTTCAGAACAGATGTTTCTGGACTTTAATAGAACTTTTTCTTCTCAGAGGAACAAAGTTTACGCGACATTCAGTCACTATGATTGATGGTACAATTCTGGCAGAAACCTGCAGGATATGATACCTATCCCTTAGCTTCAGGCTAACTTTTAATGATTGAAATAATAATAATACAAGATGAGGAAATTCAAAGCGCAGAAACCAATATTTGTTTTTATCTGGTTGTTTTCTGTTCACAGCAGCTTTTAACATATTTTATTCTGGTTTGCAGCTGGTGATGTTTGAGAATGTTGGTGAGGCAGCTCCATCAGGAGCCTCAAACATGTTTGTTCGCTTTCAGTTAATAAAAAAAACAACACATTTTTTATTTTCTCTAAATTAATATAAAAGAATTCACCTTTATTGTCAAGTACAGAGCAATGAAATTCCCTCTCTGCATTTAACCCCTCCCCTTTGGGAGCAGTGGGCTGCCACAGTGCGGCCCCCGGGGAGCAGTGGGGGGTTAAGGGTCTTGCTCAGGCGGTGGGAGTTGAACTCAGAACCTCTGGAATCCAAGATCAATGCTCTAAAAACCAGACCAACACTCCCCTAATATAAGACAAAACTTTTCTGCAGCACATTTATAGATATTTTAAACAGTTTTTTTAATTATTATTAAAAGAACAACTTAGTTTCACAACTAGAAGAAATAAAAAAATATATTTATCACAATAATTAAGTATGTTGGCTTAGATTTATGTGATTTTCTAACTATTTGGATCTTTATTTGCATATTTCACTGTTCTAAACAAAAGCTCAAACTGCTTCAGATAAATACCTGCATGTTTCCTTCAGATTTACCTTTTAATGTTTTATATTTAAATCCAGAGGAGAGGAAATGTTGCTATAAGATCCAAATGTCAGTCTGAAGGTGAAATCCACAGACATGCAGACGTCAGAATCTGGGATCTTAGCGCCTACCTGCCTGCCAGGTGTGCTTTAGACTCAGCAGCAAAGCGTTAAAACATCCCAGAGCGCCTCCTGCCTGTGATGATCCGGGAAGCGGCGTTCCCCTGCGGCTCCGGGCGGCCGGGCGATGAGCAGCAGCAGAGAGGAGAGGAAGGAGCAGCCGGACTCTGTCCACTGAACAAATGCATGGAGGCTTTATCACATGACTGCATTGCCTTGACACCCCCCCCTCCCCCCCATGTTTCTGCTTTCTGAGGTCAGGGGGGGGCAGGGTCTGTCCATGCTTCACCCAAAGCACCACAAACACAGACGTGTCTCCTCTCACCGCATCCATCACCTCAGCAGACATGTTTCTGTCAGACACTGCCGGGCCTTCAGCCAGGCTCCTGACCCCCTCTGGGTCCTGGTGGTCCTGATACCAGGTTCCCTGACCCCCTCACGGTCCTGGTGGTCCTGATACCAGGCTCCCTGACCCCCTCTGGGTCCTGATGGTCCTGATACCAGGCTCCCTGACCCCCCTGGGTCCTGGTGGTCCTGATACCAGAACTGATAAGATCTGGAATTAAAAACACAAAACAGCAACTCAGCTCAGCCTGAAAACAAAGTCTATAAAATAAACTTTAAAGTTCCTTATTCTGCATAAAGAATTTAGTCTCAAACTTCTGGTAAATCTCCCATTTTTTTATCCTCTAGATGAACCAGGATCACATTTCTTTTCTATCCAAACTTATTTGATCCCTTCAACATTTTAAACATTAATTTCTTCATGATAAATATTGAAATCAGCTCTATTTGCTCTACATCTACCTGTCATCCCTAATAATCGGCTGTTCCCTGTTAGAGCCGCTACAGAAATAATCGCTCAGATTATCCATGATTCATTGATTATTGAATTAATCCTCAACTAACTTCATCTATCGATCATTAGCTGTTTTATAAAGAATAATTCATCTCATTTGCAGAAACAGATCAGAGCAGATTTACACAAAACTGTGTGAAAAAGAAAATAACCTGGATGGATGGATGGATGGAAGATGAAAAGCATTTGTCAATAGAAAAAATATGAATCCAGAACTTTTAAATACAAAGTTTTAGATTTCACTGATAAAAAAAACAACAACAAAGAAAATGTATGGATGATATAAAATATTCAACCGATTAAAACATCCATCAGCTGCAGCCCTGGATGCTGAAACCTGCTTCTGCTCTTTTTATCAAGGCGTCGGCCATATTTGATGGTTTTAAGTTCTGGTTCTGTCTGATGGAGCTGGATGTAAATCCTCTCTCTGCTGTCAGTCTGTCCGTTCATGTGACTGCTGGACAGAAAGAAGAGCAGGACATAGAAACGGTGGAGAGTTTTAATCCCTGGATGTTCACCTCAATAATAAACTGGACTCCTTCTGTAGAAGGAGGCCCAGAGCCGCCTCCCTCCACCTCCTGAGGAGGCTGAGGTCCTCTGCAGTGAGCGGCTCCTGCTTCAAACCTTCTCTGACTCTGTGGAGGCATCAGCCCTCCTCTACGCTGTGGTCTGCTGGGCTCCTGGCAGCGCAGAGCGGGACAGAAAGAGACGTTTCTGTCCTCGGCTGCAGTCTGGACTCAGTGGCTGAGAGGAGGAGCTGTCCAAGCTTCCATCCATCATGGACGCCACCTTCCACCCTCTGCAGCAGACTGGAGAGGAGCTGAGCTGCTCCTTCAGTCAGAGACTTTTACAGCCTGGTTGGAAAAAGGAGCTACTGCAGGTCATTCATCCTGCTGCAACCAGACTCTACAATGAGACGCTACAACCACAATTACTGCTGCTATGGAGAATAATTACTATTTAATATCCTGAGCAATAACTATAAATATAAATATCCATAGAAACACCCTGTGATATATAATAATCCTATTATAAAAATATAAAAAAGCTATCTTATGTGGACGCACTGTATATCCTGTATATATCCCATCATGCACCTTGTTCTTCCTTTGCCACCTTCTTCTTCTCCTGTGACTATTTGAGCTGATGGAACGAGGAAATTCAGCCACTGTGAGATCAATAAAATCAATCAATCAATCAATCAATCAATCAATCAATAATGCATTTATACATCCCACACATCTATGTTGACATTTACAGTTTATATTCGCATTATTTAACTTAAGTAGTTGAAGCATCAAACTGTAACTGAATGAAAAATAAAAAACAAAGAGTTTGTTGTTTTTAAACAAAAGTAAAATAAAGTTTTTTCTGTCACTAAATCCACAAAAACTGATCTATAGAGTCCGGCTTCTGTTACCGGCCGATAATTAGGTCATAATATTTTGGTATTCATTGATTTCCTTTCATTAATGTGTGATGATGTCACAGCCTTTCTGAATCCAGGTGGGAAATCTGCTGCTGAATATCTGAGTGAAAACACCAGCCGGCCCCCCATTGGCCCAATGGTCGGTTACCATGGATACCGATGCAGGCAGAGGTAGATGCTGAAGATTTCTTCCGGTAGATCCTCCTTCTAGGTCGCCTAGATCTGCTCCCCTCCAACATCTGGAAAAAGATAAAAATCCTCTGGAAACAAAATATTGGCAGATTAACTTTTAAAATCAGGCTTTATTTTCACCGTCAGCATGAATCAATAAACTCCAGTAATGCAATAAAACATTTTTTATAAAATATTTCATAATAGCCATAAATTTATAGCGATAAGAACTTTTTATTAGACCAACAAGATGTTTTTCTGATTTTAAGACACAGAAAATGAGACAAGTTTCCCAATAAGACAGAGAGATCTAAACTGAGGTGTGTGAAAAACAGCGCCCCCCTGTGGTCACAAGGACTCGACACCTGTCCAGTAATGTGACGTAATGGGACCAGTTTTCAGTTTTATTTACTGGAAAAAATATCTTTGCTGTTTTTAAAGTAAAAGAAAAATAAAATCCACAATTTCTGAAAATAAAAGAAAAAATGTTTGTATTTTAATGCAAAAATTACTTTCTTTTTTATTTCTGTTTTTTATGAAAACCTTCAAAAAACAAAAATGATTTTTCAAAGCAGAGAAAAAGTGAAGGAAACGCAGATAAGAATAAATGATGATGCAGTTATAAGAAAATTGTTAAATGAATGAATAACAGCAGCTCTGCTGGGATGTCCGTGATCCAAAGCATCCAGCCATGACCTCTGACCCCTGGAACATGATCTGTGTTTACAGACGAGCCTCGCCTTCAGCCGCTCTGTTTGCTCTGCAATTATTTGCTTAACAAATCAAAACAGGCTGAGTTTCCACCAGAGAGCGGCGGCTCCTACAGGAGGAGGAATGGAGCCATCTTAGAAAACTAAAGTAGGACCCCCCCTGCATGTTTTCTTCCATGAATCAGAGCCTGCTGAGGATGGTCACGTTGTTCGGAAGAACATCTCACCATCTCAGGTTTCTGCTGGCTCCAAACTCTCCCAGCGTCCAACTCCACTGATCCGGCTCTAAATTTAGCCTTAAAGTCAGAAACAGGAGGAGAAAGTTCAGCATAAACCCTGAGAGGCTCTGAAAAATCCCATCATTCACATCCAGAGAATTAATGATCGATTAAACCCGTCCTGCTGGAGGAACATGGAAGCAGCCGGGAGTCCAGAGGAGTAGCAGGATCAGTCTGCAGGATCTTTCCAGGAGCGTCCAGAACTTTCCAAAGCAGCTGAATGATGAGCTGCTTCACTTTCTTAATCCTCTGCAGCCTTTTTGGTGAGTCCAGCATTTAAAAACCCAAAATCCTACGTATTAGAAAAGGTTTGAGGTAATGAGGGCAAAGACCTCTGACTGTTTAGAATCTAATGGTGAGTCTGCAGTCAGATTGCCTGCAGAAATGCAGCCTTTAAAAAGTATTTCATTATTTCTACATATTTCTGAAGCTGTTTAAACCGAGCAGCTATATTTTTTATTTAAAATTAATTGTGATTTGGTCCTGAAGCGAAGCTCATGGCTTCCTGAAGCAGTTCAGGAGCAGCAGACCAGTTCAGCAACAAAACCAAACAGACACTAGATCTAGGGGGGGAGATCGGCTAATTTCTCCTCGTCTGAAGAAGAAAATGATGGTCTGACTGAAAGGATCCAGGAGGAGCTTCCTGGATGGATCTGATCTCTGATCCTTCAGACGGATCTGCAGCAGCAGCCGTTCTTTATCAAGAGCTAAACAAACAGAAAGGACTTGGTTTCATGGAGGAAATCTAACTTTAAGAACATGAACCTACATCTGATGGAAACATGAGGACCATGTCTGAGATGTTTGCAGAGGAAGGAGCAGCCAGTCCCTGCAGCCTGTAGGCTCAGTAATGGTAGGAGGTGATATCATGGTATGGG